GCAAAGACAGATTCGGACCGGCCTAGGAATGGAAAGAAGCAAAGAAGAGGAAGTAACAACATCACCGGCAGTGATGATGAGAAACAGAAGAAGATCAATGCAAAGCCCTGCAGAAAACACAATGGAGAACACAGGTGGGGAGAGTGCCCGTTCAACAAGAGKGGTAACAATTGGCAGGGTGACAATCGAAGGACTAATAACAACAATCACAGAGGAGATCAGAGAAGTCAAGGAAATTCAAAGAGGTTTACACCAGGTGCCTATTCATGCATCATCGATGAAAGCGGAAATATGAGCAACTTCCAACCACAAGCAATTCAACCTCAGAACTATCAGCTTGCTACACACAATGGCTCTAACTCCAGTGGGGGCCCTCCAAGCCACGTCTCATTACAGTCCAATAGCAATGCCGGATCAACAGCCCGACAAGGACTAAATCAACAGTGGTGACATCCGAAAGAGGCTTTCTTTGCAGCATTGCCTCCACTACCATCTATTCAATCACAGGAAGAGAGCTTTGAGTTCTATGGCCTTGATAATGAAAAAGCTCTTAAGAATCCTACAGCAGAGACCTTATGGGCTCTGAAACCACCACCGGATGTACTACCAGCAGTCATTCTTGTGTGTAAAGCCATACAAGACCTACCAACCATGCAGACATTCAAAGTTCTTTTAGACAGTGGAAGCACTATGTGCCTGATTCACAAGCGATGCCTTCCACCAGGAACAGTGCCTTTCCAAGACAAATTCAGCTCAGTCACGACTACAGCCCAGGGAAGCTTCGATACTTCTAAGTATGTCTTCATCTCTACCATACGGCTTCCTGAGTTTGGCAATGGCAAATACACCAGAGGAATCAATGCAAGGCTCTTCTCTGCCCCTTGCAACTATGACTTGATTCTAGGAAGGGACTTCCTATTGATGACTGGAATAGATCTCTTCTATTCCACACGCACTATCAGATGGTTGGGTTCCACCATTGATATGAAACCCGTAGATCATTTCAATGATCCCCAGCACGTGGCAGAAGCCATGTGGATTGCAGAGGATGATGAGCTCTTGGATGGAGGATTCCTTGAGTTTCATCTACTCCCCCCAAGCAGCTGCCGACAACAAAACTGCAGACATGCAGACAGCTCGGACAGTTATTTAGCAGCAGACGCTGCCAGGGCTACTGTAGGAACAGAACCCAACAGAATCCTGGATGCACAGTACCAGAAAGTGACTCCAGAGCAAGTTGCAAACCAACAGGAGCACATGAATGATTCAGAAAGACTAGCATTCAAAGAGATGTTAGCCAAACACACGGAGTTGTTTGATGGCAAGCTTGGTAGATATCCTCATGAAAAGATCCACATAGATCTAAAAGAGGATGCTGAACCAGTCTACATAAGACCATACCCAGTACCCTACAGACACGAGGATGTCTTCAAACGAGAGTGCCAGCACCTAGTCAATGAAGGAGTGATAGCTCCCACTGGCAATTCAGAATGGGGCTTTCCAGCCTTTATCATTCCCAAGAAGGACGGCAGAGTCAGATGGCTTGTTGACCTCAGAGACTTAAACAAAAGGATCAAGCATCCTAAGTTTAACCTCCCCAGAATCCAGGACATCATGAACCGCAGAACACAATACAATCACTTCACCAAGATTGACCTGTCCATGATGTTTTACTGCTTTGAACTGGATGAGGAGAGCCAGAAAATATGCACCCTCACTACCACACACGGTAACTACCGGTGCTTAAGATTACCAATGGGCCTCAAATCATCTCCCAACTATGCCCAAGCGTTCATTACCAAGATATTGGTGAACCTTGATATTGAAGTGTATATTGATGACATGGGGATCTGGTCCAAAGGACCATTCAGCACACACCTTTCTCTAGTCGACCCTGTCCTCCAACGACTAGCCGCCAATGGGATGAAATGCAACCCATTGAAATGTGAATGGGCAGTGAAAGAATCTGACTTTCTTGGGTATTGGCTCACCCCGACCGGCGTCAAGCCATGGCAAAAGAAAGTAGATGGCATCCTGAAAATGGGCATCCCAAGAAATCAACAGCACGTTTGGTCTTTCCTGGGTGCTGTGAATTATTACAAATCCATGTGGCCTCAACGATCACATATATTAGCCCCATTGACAGCCCTCACAGGCTCCGGACCTTACATTTGGACACCTGAATGCAACCAAGCCTTTCAAGAAATGAAAGCGCTGCTCGCCCACGATGCTATAAACACCTTTGCCAACTTGAAAGACCCCTTTCATCTTTACACTGATCCCTCTGACTATCAGCTCAGTGCAGCAATACTTCAAAATGATAAACCAATAGCATATTGGTCCAAAAAGCTGAACAAAACCCAAAAGAATTACACCACAATGGAAAAGGAACTGTTAGCAGTCATCCTTTGCCTCAAGGAATACTGGAATATGCTCTACGGTGGCAAAATCAACATCTATACTGACCATACTAAGAACCTAATCTTCAGGACACTGTCACAGTCAAGAGTTCTTCGTTGGAAAGTGTCCCTTGAAGGCTTTGACAACACATGGCAATATATTCCGGGCAAGAAGAATGTTCTTGCAGATTGTTTCTCTAGAGTGCCCAGAATGGATCCGTGCACTGTCGGGGACAAAGAAAAGAAAATTTATGCGCAGAACAAGGGAACAGTTCTTAATTTCAAGGAATTAACAGTGCAAGTGGATCCGGAAGATGTTTTCTATTTGGAGCCAGAATTATATGAGTGCTTGCTCAATTTACCGCCAGTATCAGAGATGGAGAATCCAATAACAAATGCAAGCCTTTACACTTATCAGCTCACGGACCCACAGTGTCAACACCTACTTGAAATTGATCCGACACGCTATGTCAAGAGGAGAATAGGAACCTTTGAGTTACTCACAGTATCCACAAATGACAACAATAATTGGAAGATCTACTTGCCCAATGGACTCGTGGAGAGCACCCTCAGATGGTATCACCTCCTATAGGGTCACTGTGGAAGCACTCGGTTATATGAAACTATCAGTGCTTGATTTTATGCTCCACGACTCAGCCTAAGATGCAAGCAATATCAGTGTCCGGATGAGTGCCATAGATTCAAGCAACAAGGCCAGGGACATGGCTTATTACCAGCTTGGGAAGCTCAGCTTGTTCTGTGGAATGAAGTTTGTGTGGATTTGATTGGTCCTTGGAAGATACTTCTCCTGGATGAAACTGAATTGGTGATCAATGCCCTCACCTGCATTGATCCGGTCACTAACCTATTGGAAATCATCAGAATCAATAACAAATCAAGTGAGCATGTTGCAGAGCAGTTCACAAACTGTTGGTTGTCACGTTATCCCAGGCCCAACAAATGTATTCACGATAATGGCACAGAATTCATTGGAAGTCCATTCAAACAGCTCTTGAACCAATATGGAATTAAGAGTGTACAAACCACTGTGAAGAATCCACAAGCAAACGCAGTATGTGAAAGAGTTCATCAAACGATTGCCAATGTTCTGCGGGCCACGCTTCACACCAAATCCCTCGAAGAAGCTGAATTTGATGAAGACCAACTGATTGACAACGCGCTTGCCTCAGCAATGCATGCTACCAGATGTGCAGTGAATGCAGCAGTGAAGACGTCACCAGGAGCTCTGGTTTTCAGCCGTGACATGGTTATGGATATCCCGCTGATTGCTGATTTAAATCTTATCAGAGATAAAAGACAACACCAGATAGTAGATGAGAATCTTAGAAGAGAAAATGCTCGGAGAATACCCTTCAAGTATCAGGTCAGACAGCAGGCCTATATGAAATTCTATGAACCAGACAAGCTGTCCCAAAGACTATACAGCCCCTATCCCATCGTGGAAATCAACACTAATGGGACGGTGGTGTTGCAGAGGAGTGACAACGTACGTGAGACTGTAAATATTTGGAAGCTTGTTCCATATAAAGGGATTGCCAATGCCCCTCCTGGAAACCCAACTACAGAGGAAGAACCCCCTGCTGAAAATATTGAAGATATGATTGCTACAGTTTAGTAGTAGTACTGAAGGCAGCATTCCTGTGAGGGATAATGCAATAGATCGACAGTATCGGAAGTATACGTACGGTGCGAAGCTTCGAAGAAAGGAATAAGGGAACATACCATTCCTACGTACCTATCGTATAGGTATGATTCTTATATATGTATCATAGGATCCATCGTAAGAGGTCCAAGGATCGTAAGAGGTCCGACTTATCAGAAATAGATTACCCCGCAAAGAACAAAGATGTCAGTAGATCAGAACAATAAGAATCCTGTGTAGATTCAGTACCAGAGCTACATGTCAGAACACAATAATCTTAATCTTATAATTTTGATTTCATACACACTTAAACATACTAAGAGTACATGTATTTCGTATTTCGTGCAAGAATGACTTGTTGTCACAATAATGACTGAATGTTTAAGTTAAAAATGAATAATTTATTTTGGTCAAGGTACTAATGCATTTGCAAAACTTAATATACCAGGGTTTACACAAATCCACACAAAAAAAAGTTTCTTTTTGTTTCCTTGGTAAGTCCAGGACTGTAAGAATTCTTCAAAGTTACTGGTGGCTACCGCGCACTAAAGATAGTGAAGTCCAGGGCGCACCGTTGCCAATTTGGCGAAACGGATCCTGTGACAAAATCTCCAATTTGACGTTTCACATTTTTCCAGCTTTTTTCGTCGTTCTTTCAATAATCTCAAACGTCATTGCCAACTCATCAACAATCATCTGTGAGGTCGCGTCTAGACGATGATTCATCACGAAGACGGCTTTCATTTGACATTCTTCTTTAAAACACATAGACGGAGAACTGAACCGTGAATAAAAGATATGTCGCAGGGACAGGGAGGGAATAGTAAGATAGCACATGCGTGTACTTGCACATACTACAATGGTTTTTGACACGACCGAATTGCAACTTCCATTTCTCTACATTGAATTGTGATTACTCGTGTTATGCGAACGCAAACGGAGATTACTTGCAAGAATGATTTTGATGGCCAGACGACATAAAAAAGAATTTAGGACTAAGCACAATCGACCAATACAAACGCCATGAAGGACTATCGTTCTCCTTTTCTTTCTATGTTGTTGACATGTTGGTTTTGTTTCGCGTTACCAATGACTACGGGGGCTACGGAATCTGGAGGACATAAAGATATCCCTACCACAGCAATTGCAGCCGCTAATTTTGATACACTCGTCGCTGCTCTTTCTCAAGCTGATTTGGTAGGTGCACTATCCGACCCTAACGGTCCCTACACTGTTTTTGCACCTACGGACGAAGCATTTATGTCGTTGCCCGACGGATTGGTCGATTGTTTATTACTGGATAGAAACAAGAATGTCTTGACCAATGTATTGCTGTACCACGTTACAGTAGGAACAACTTTTTCATCGGATCTGCTAGATGGAATGGAAATCTCAACTCTCTTAGAAGAGGAAGTCACAATCAATATAAGTGATAACGCGGTGATGGTTAACGATTCGAACGTCATTTCGGCTGACGTCGATACGTCAAATGGAGTTATCCATGTCATTGATGGAGTTCTTGTCCCTCCCTCTATCGACGTTACCGCTTTCCTCCGAACTTGCCCGTTGACGCAAGACCCAGACCCGGTGAAGTGCAGCTATCTTGGCATTGGCCGTTCTGCTGGACAATACTTGACAGGTCCGACCCACACTTGCCTATGCGCCCAGTCGGGTCATTGGACAGACTGTGTCCCTAACGAAAAGAAGGTGAAATCCGTTGAAGATGTTGTTGTGAGCAACCCGAAACTTTCGACACTCGAAACTGCCATCCGTGCGGCAGGCCTCCTTGGTGTCCTTGACGGTTCGGACGCTGCAACCCTATTTGCTCCAGACAACCGAGCTTTTTCTCGAGTGCCTCCACCAGTTTTGGATTATCTTTTGACCAACACAGATGTACTGTCAACGGTCCTTCGATACCACATTATTCCAGGTGGCGTGTCTTCAGATGACATTGCCCTCGGTAGTTCCATGGTACCATCGTCGCTCGGCGATCAAGATTTTATTGACTTCGAAAAATCGTGCTGGTCCACTGTGGAGACTTGTCACGAAATATTTAGTATCGCTTTGAATGGCGAAAGTGATGTCATTGCCGCTGACATTCGTGCAAGAAACGGTATCATCCATGTCATCGACGAGGTCCTGATCCCCCCAAGTTTAGAAGCTGTTGTGGAGTCATTACTTGGGTCGTTTTAAAGAAGTTGGAAGAAAGTATTGTTGTCAGCAACCATTTGTCGTTCGAACAGGGTAAACTCTGCCTAGCAGTACCATGGATTACATACTAGATCATATACTTCTACAATCTAATTATTAATATTATGTATTGAATACCACCAATGGCAGACATCCTAGGTTTCAAACAGGATTTCTGGCACTTGGTTTGAGGGATCTCTTTGACGACAGCAACAGAACTATTGTATTGACTAATTTCACCACTGCGGTGTGGTTAGTTCAGGGTTCATTTCTCTATCAAATGGGCTCAATCATAAGAGGGTCTTGATAGTGACTTATGCGAAGTTCGTAAGCAACACAGGTGAATCAAAAAGTCAGATTTGTTTCATCAGAAGAGAGCCAATGAATTGCACACAGGGTGCAAACATTTTGAATAAAAACAATGTCCTTTCTCTGTTATATGATGCTTAAATTTCAAATGGGTATGACATCATATTTGTCTACATATGTAGATTATGTTACTTCTGTAAAATATTCGTACTAGTATCATATTTTATCTTTGATTCACTGCTTGCACTACTAGTGGTACTACTATCACTTCATTACTGCTACTACTAGGAATGGTGGTTCTAGCAATGATAGTGGTGCCAGCAAGGTAGCTCAGCTCGTAGTACTGGTAGTATTACTACAAGTAGTAGAAGAAGTTTCTAGTTGCTGTTTCTACCATGTCACTAGTAGTAGCACTATTTGTACTAGTAGCAGCTTCTATTACTAGCTACAAGCAACATTTTTTCGTTTGCTTTTTTTAATTGCCATCATCATATTGGTGGTTTTTGTTGATTCTGTCTTTGCAGCAGAACTGAAGCAATTTTGGGTCATTCCCATTAATCTAGATTGACTAGATTTGATACAAGACAAACAGACAAAAAATGAGGTCTACATTGTCTAAATCTAGTAGTTGCTTTTGAGAGACCCTTGTTTGCCACCTATTCAAAACTTTCCAGAAGTAGATTGGAGTCCGTGAATTAAAATACCAACAAGTCATTCTTAATTTCTTAGTACCAAAGTGGCTGGTAGCGACATCAATCCCCTCCTGTTAGGCGTTCTATTGAACTATGGTAGAGACATGGCCACCAAATGTACAAACCAGTCTTACATTCTGGGCCCTTATTTTTGCGTGTAATGACTACTTTGACTAAAAACTGAATTGTACTCCGGTACAGCAGGGCACGTACTGAATTTTTGAATTCCACCAGTCTTGCAACCAAATAGTTTTGCTTGCATGTGCCCAGCACTAGCCACCGTACAAGACAATTTTTAATCCCAGAAGTCATTACACAGTAAAAAGATAGCCCAAAATTGAAACACAGTAGAAAAAAAAGTAGAACATTAGGAGAGGTTCAACTCACGCTAACCGCAACAACTTTGTCCCCAACAGATGCTTAAGTATGGTAAGCACATGAATTGAAAGCCAGTTTAAACATGATCCAAGTCATATGGGGTAGTTGGGGGGTCCTAGTTGTATTTATTGATATACATGTAGGTATACAGAGCATTAAAAATATATGGTGCATGGTTTGGCCAGAAATGCGTGGCCAAGCCTATACAATATTTAAGATTCCAAATTCCCAAAAAGGATGGCATAAAGCTGGCATTCTGTCTCTTTTCCATTTGTCTAGATAGTATCAACCAGTCTGTTAAGATATCTAGTCAATCTAGATTAACAGGAATGATCCATTCTACAGTTTCTTGTTCTTTGCACTTTTGTTTGAAACTTTATGAAGGGATGAGCAAGCTTAATTGGAGTAAAATGCAGTAACTGTTGGATGCCAATGAGAGAGCCTACAGAGCTCAATGTCATTCTACTCCAACACACAATTTCATATTTATTGCTAAAACACCATCTTCACCACGGTGTGACTAATAACATTGCAACCAGAGCCCCTCTGGTGAGCATAAGTTGGATACTGTTACAAAGCTCTTCTTCTGCTCAATAAGGTCATTGACTATTGCTTTTATGGTATCTCATCTCTTCTAGTTACTGCTATACATAAACAGGGTGAAATGATGGCACAATATTTTCAGCAGCATCCACGAGGATGGCTATATCTTTACAACTAAGAAGTGTCAGATTATAAGTGGAAAAAGAACTGTTCAATTAGTTTAGGTTTATATTGGCTTTGTCTAAGGGGCTACATTTGCTATATGAATTTTTGAAACAGGGCCTATGGAGCAAGGAATTTTGGAAAAACAACAGCACACCACAGTGGCTTGCAAAAATGTCTTGAAGGAGCCACCACTTGGAAAACTAAGTTGACGAATTGAAGGAGTGCTATCAGATTGGGGGGCACACACCCAAGAACTGCAGTTAGGCAACTCTCGGTTGAGAAGTTGTGCCAAAGGCAAGCTGGGGCATCTGAATTGGATGGAAGGGAACCAAATCACTAGCAATGTTCCAGACTATGAAGGAGAGCTCCTAGACAAAACTGAGTTGACAAATTGAAAGAGCACTATCAGATTGGGGGGTCCACACCCAAGAACTGGTAGGGGTGACTTTTGGTTTTGAAGTTATTTAAAAGGCAAGCTGGGGCATTTGAATTGGATGGAATGGTACCAAATCACTAGCAACATCAAAATCTATAGGAAGAAGAGCTCCCAGGCCAAAACTGGGTTCACAAATGGAAAGAACACTATCAAATTTAGGTATCCATGTACTAGCTTTGCTATCATGTGACTTTTGGTTGAGAAGTTATGTCAAGCTATGAAAAGAGGTTAAATGGTGGCAGCTGTCTTAATTTTGTGCCATTTGGATTATTTTCTATGCTTCCAAACTGGGTGAGGAAACATAAGAAAAAATCCATATATTACAGTATCAGGGACATTGTCATGTAGATTATTATCTATCCCTCTTCTTCACACTCTTACAAGAAGTCTTCTTTTTGTTGCTTTGTCATATTCCTAACAACATCTGTAAGAGATTTTTTCTGCAGCTTTCTATATCCACCCAAGGCTAGTAGTGTGTCCTCAATGTTGATTGGACTTGTTTTCAACCAGGTAAATTTGCTCTACTTTTTATCACTCCACTTTTTGTACAGTGGTGATTTTGTTTGGGTATCCTTCACCTCCTTGTATTTCTATCTGACCTCTTCACGGAGTATGGGATGCCTATCTGTCCACTGATCATTGCTTATGGACTTCACCAAGTCCAGGAAACTGGGAGTCCCATCCTGTTGTTTTAACCCACATAGGCCCACCACGATCACCAAGTGTATCTGGCAAATTCCCTCCTGGCAACAACATCCCTGTACTCACTTAAACGACCAAAACTGATGGTTTTCAATACAATCCAATTCTTTTTGATTCTTCCTGCTGGGTTTCTTGGGTCAGTGCAAGACTGTTCTGGAATGCATGATCCTCCTCCTGAATAGTAGCAACTTTGTCACATAAGCTAATATTATAGTCTGTGTCATCTTCTCCAATGGGAATGGTGTCATTGCAATCAACTGAGGAAAGCTGGTCAGGAATATCTGGAATATCTTGACCTACAACAATAGCTGAACCTCTGTCAGTCCAAAACTTAACCTTCTTGGCAACAATAATCTCCTTCTGCTCTGGTGATGTTGCGTTGGTAATTGTACACAAGGAGGATACATATTCAAGAAATGAATTGTCAGGTTGGAATTGTTGAAGATTCTGAAGGAGTCCTTCCACCCAAATGTGTTCACCTCTTCCTGGATCACATTGTTCTTCTTCTTTTTCTAACTCTTGAAATAGATTGTTCAATTGTTTATTGTTCCTGCCAAAGGTATGGTTGTAGTGCACATTCCATCTAACACCAAACATAACAGGTAGTTCAACCACATGTGGTCTTATGGATCTAGATTTTCATGCACCCAAAACCTGATCTTCTGAACACTATATTCTGGCAAGGTCTTGTTTTCTTTGAGTTCTTGTAACCACGAGAAAAACATTTTTCTTGATAGTTCATATTCATCCTTTGTTTCAATATTGAAGAACTATGACCTTACCCATTCCTTAAGTACCTTTGCAACCGCACCTGTTATCCACCAGAAGCAAAAAGAGGACAGAAACATGTAATGAACAAACCTTGTACTTCATTCTGAATATGTCACAATTGATGCCGAACCTGGTACTTATTCAGAATATGTAACAACTGATGCCAAACCTGGTACTTGTTCAGAATATATCACAATTGATGCCAAATCTGGTACTTATTCCAAATATGTCACGATTGATTCCAAACCTGGTACTTATTCTGAATATGTCACAATTGGCTGTAGCTACTTACCATCGTTAGGCAAGCTTCCTTTCACATGTTTTGAATATCCAATTACCACCAAATGAAAGTAACAAAGTGAATGAACAGCATTAACAAATACTTTGTCCCTACCACAGTTGTTTACGAAAGACAAATACTCCTGAGTACATTGATCAGTGATCATCAAGCAAAGTCTCCTTGTGACCACAGGGCTCCAGATTCTAGAAAGAGAATTCTTGAACAGCATGCTAAATACCCAAGCTTGGCTGCTAGGGACAAATGCTCTTCCACCCTTGAATGCCATATTATTTCCATCCAAGAATGCCAACGTAAATAGCTCTTTCTTCTCTCTGTTTGTTCCAAAAGTCGTATCAAAGCAACAAAATTTTGGAAACATTTGCACCATCCTCATCTCCTAATTACTCACAAACAAAAAGATCAGTAGCAGACGGCCACTAGCATTGACAAGGTTTGATTGAAACATTGCCTTGAACCTTTTGTATGACTGTGCATCACAATCAGTTGTATTCAGTGGTGGGATGCAATTTAGATAAACCTCTTTGTCCACCATTGTTCTCTCTCTTGCTTGCATTCCCAACAAAAGACCCTCCAGTGGAGAATATGTTACATACAAATAGTTAACATCATTTCATTGATCAAATGCCTCAATCACTTTGTCAGCACTTGAAGCTTTTGATAACAATCTACTCACACGATCTTTCTCTTTTTGTGACAAGTAACAAATTTGCTTGTCTGTCCATGTGATTCCTGCTTGGAGTTTATCCCTTATATTTAGCAGTGCAACTGAGGAAGAGGAAGTGAAACTCAACTGGTTGCATTGTAATGCAAGTTCCTTCTCTGAACTGGACATTGATCTTATAGATACTCTTAACTGTTCTGACTGCATTTTCCAGTGTCCATTGTGTCTCCCAACACTGGCTGCTGTTGGTGCCAAGGTCCACTGGCCAGACTGATTTTCAGAAGGAGCAGTCATACTCAATATCATTGTAAAGTTACATACATCATCCTGAAAAAGAGGCCGCCTTGTGCTTGTTTTTCTTTGATTTTTAACATTCTTTGCCTTATCATATGGCCTGTTGTGCTGGCAGCACAACCTGATATATGCTCCAAATTTCGCAGATTTTTCCAACTCCTTCTGACTTTTTGAAGACCTGGTTACAAGTAAGAAGCCAGTCTTTATCCTTGCCAACTTTAAGGACATAATCAACCTGGAATGTTTGTCATGGCCATCAAAGTGAGAGGGAAACTTGTATGACTTTCCTCTCCTGCTGAAAAGGTCAATTGACCAACACAGAATCTTCACTTTCTTGCTTGGCAACATTAAATACCATATCACATTCCCAAGACTTGCCTTCTTACTACATCAAATTCTCATAATCATCAGTTAGATTGGTGGTGATGGTGGCTCCACTTTTTGTACAGGGGTTTGTAGTCATGCTGGTAATATTGCTACCTGCCTTGAGGTAGTAGTAGTAGTTGGGCAGAATAGAACTCTGAAAGTTGCAATGCCTTGATGTAAACTGTTTTTTTGGAATAGATAAATTGTTCAGAATAAAGAGAGATGCCGATTAATACATTTATTCAGAATTAGGTACTGGTGGACCATGCGGAATAGAAGCAATAGGCGGAATACAGTTCCGAATTTTTCCAAATACCTCCTAAAGGAATCCAAGTAGTAACACACTCACTCTGAAACTTGCAGGATATATTGGGGATGTGGTGATGAAAAATAATGCAAAGTGAGAAGTAGAATTATTAGTGATCTCAGCTACAATCGAAAGGACAGTGGTTGGAGGGAGAGGTGCATTTAATGTGTTTGTGTGCCTGTGTTGTGGTCATTGAAGGGAGCAGCACCAACAAAAACCCCAAACACGGCAGTTCGCAGTGCTCATTACTATAACATCCCCAGTAGTAAGTACTAGTAATAGAGGTTTTCCAGTAGTAAGCCCTAATAGTAATTCTCAAGGAGTAACCGATGAATTTACCTCTCCAGTAGTAAGGACCACTAATAGAAATATTTAGGGACCAATAAATTAAATAATTTGAAACATTTTTTTTAACTGTAAAAATGAACCTAACAATTTTGTGAGTGTTTGTGTGGGGACCATCAAAAACCAGCCAGAATTTCCCTCTCCAGTAGAAAAATCGTGGGCTGAAACCGCTCAGGGGTCTATTCCTTCTGGCTCAATCCCGAGTAAATAGTGAATAACTCACTCTTTATTGTAAACACGTAATTATGTGACACTAGAGAGCATACGTACATTTTGCAATCGATGGTCACTGCTCTGTGCAAGTAAATCTCAAGGTCGAACGGTTTCGAATCGTATGGTAAGTCTACATTTTTTTCTGCACACGATTTCGAAACTACGTACGAGTACGAAATACGTACGGTAGTCATATCGTACCGCAAAGATAGTACGTTCTCGTACAGTCGTACGGAGCCATAGTACATTGTTTAGGCTAGTAGGTATCAGGTACGATAATCCTACGAGTACCGTACTCGCACAACAACTTTGGACGACCAACATTCTCGCTAGGTTGTGTGTGACACAATTTTCACGACAAAAGACCTTCGACAGATATCTTATAGTCCAATAAGCTGCAATTGCATCCTTTTGAAAACAATTATTTAACCATGGCCCTAAGACTTGCTGCCTCCCGATTTGCAAAAAACGGTGTTCATTTCGCAACTAGTGCTCGATCCTTGTCAACTGGAGCTGATCATATGCGAAGCAAAGAGAACTATGAAGCTGTTCTTGATAAATTTGCCGAAATTAGAGCGTGCGCCGTTTTACGAACCCCTACCAGCGAAAGTTGCCCTAAGGCGATGCAGGCTGCCATCGATGGTGGCTTCAAAATAGTCGAGTTCACACTAACGACTCCTGATTGCCTCCAGCATCTTTCAGACTTCCGTGCCAAGTACGACGGCGATGTCATGGTCGGTTGTGGAACCATTTTGACACCCGAAGATGCTGCTGACGCCATGGCGGCGGGAAGCGAGTTTATTATCACGCCTGTCATGCTTCCTGATGTCATTGAATGGTGCAGAGATCGAAACATTGTATGCGTGCCTGGATGTCAGACTCCTACCGAAATGGTCAATGCCTACCGCCATGGTGCACCGCTCCAGAAACTCTTTCCTGGTGTGGCTGGTGGACCTGGTTGGGTCAAGGCTGTGAGCTCTGCACTGCCATTCCTCAGTATTAATCCAACTTCAGGAGTTGATTTGGACAATGCTGGAGATTATCTGAAGATGGGAGCTGCATCTGTCGGCCTCGTTGCACCTTTGTTCGATCAAGAGGCAATTGCTGCTGGTGACTTTGATCAAATTGCTCAAAACGCAGAGAAGGTCATGGCCAATGTTCGCGAGGCTGGCCCATACCAACGCAAATAACTCAGCAAGTTAATAAGGAAAAATCGCCACTGTACAATACATCAAAGAATCGAACATTACAGTTCATATTCCTTCGCAATTTTTGTCGTCAAAGAATAATTCCTTGTGCGACGCATAACTGTTGTTCGTAGATTCCATTCAGCGAACTAATCCCCCTTTCTTATGAATAGGGCACAAACATGATTCTATTCTTTAATGATACTCCAAACTAACCTGTGTATGAGCAGTGCAAAAGTTCGTATGGATCTGACAGTATTCGTCACAAATACTGCAATGCATAATAACAGAATTGCAGATGTTGTTACAGTAATGTTTGAACGACTTACAAGTACAAATAAATTAGTACCATACCGGTAATCCTAGTACTAGATGAGAATTTTTTCTTGGCTAACTAATTTTGACATGAAAAGCTAACAACTGAAAAGCTCACTCAACGCAATAGGTAAAACTGTAAAAGCCCAGATTGTGTAACCTGTTTCTCTAGCAATAATAACACTACTCGTACTACTAGTACAAGTACCTAGTAGTAACCAACTACGAGTGCTGTCATAATAATATGTTGGTACTTCTTCCTCACATATGGTGTTAGGGGTCATAATGTTAGAGACTGTGCAATGTATCAAAAATTTCTGCATTTAATGAAGAAAACTCATGTTTTATGTTTGGTCCAAATTTCCAAAAAGTAAGAACCCTTGGATTTTTTTATTCTCATTTTTAGTACTGAATATCAATACTAGTAAAACTATCCAACGTTTGAGCAGTTAGTAGTACTACTTTACCAAAAATACCACTATTTTAATTTTTGAGTAGCCACCAGTCTAGAGCAATTTTTAATGCTGATTCTGAATATCATTTTGTTGGACACCAAATGGATTTTTGTGGTGGTACTATTTTACTGTTGAAAAATGAACATAATTCTATCCAGTAATACTACTACTACTACTACTAGTGCCTACTATTGATACTACTACTAGTATTACTATACTACTAGTACTAGTACTAGTACTAGTGGTGGACTAGTACTACTAGTATTATAATACTAGTAGTACTATCACCACCACTACGTCGTCACGTAATAGTACTATTAGTGGCTAGTTGTGCTACTAGTATTACTACTGGTACTGAGGTGAAACTAATCATAGTAATACTCATTGTAGTAGTACTACTACTACTATTATTAGTACTAGCTAGTACTAGTACTACTATTAGTACTAGTACTAGTACTAGTACTACTAGTAGATGGAATTATGTTCTTCTTCATTTCTTTTCAACAGTAAAATGGTACCAGCAGAAAAATCCATTTGATATCCAACAAAATGGTATATTCAGAATCAGCATTAAACACTGGACTACTAGACTGGCTACTCAAAAATTAAAATATCAGTATTTTTGATAAAGTTGTAACTGCTCATAAAGGTTGGATAGTTTTACTACTACTAGTTCTACTAGTATTATGAAGTGAAACTGAGACTTAAAAATTTCCTGGGGTGAACTTGTACTTTTCGGAAATCTGGACCGAACGTGGAATATGACTTTTCGACGCGTTGCACACCCCCTTGTTCTCATAAACAAACTGACGTCATCAAAGTCAAACTACGAGTAACGTCCCGTAGATCCTTTTCAACTCGTGTTCCACATGAATCACGTAAAACTATTTTCTCGTGACACCGGATTTATGATACGTTTGTTCGGTACCGTAATTACAAGAGAGATACTCTTACGTAGTCGTCAATACGGTACTCGTACGTACACTACGTACTGCATGCGTTACTACGATAGAAAATGGACTCTGGTTTAGTATTAATCGTACGTGCATTTACTGTAAGAGTCCATACACACAGTAACCCTTGTTTCGTTTCTTGTGTGTTCGGTGTACTTGTCGAGTACTAGGAAACCGTTTGTGCTTCGATGACAGAAAAATCTTGTAGCTCAGCCGTGCCGACAATCCATGCTGAAAAAAAGACGATTCGTGTCACACATTTCGGCCCGTCAAATCAATTTCTAGTGGAGTCATAATCTGTCGTTCCGGGGTATATTCATCTGATAATAATGCTGTCATCAAATTTTCGTCGCACCGTACTTTCGTCTCGAAACCTTTGGGCACGGTCTTTTGCAACGGGCCCTGCTTCAGGCGGATCTGTTTCCGATGAAATGCTTCAAAAGCTAGGAAGTCTCTCCACTCAAGCTCTCGTCGATGGTCTATGGGTAATGGGATGGCCGCCCGCCCAGATTGATGGGGCTCGACCTCTTACGAGTGGTATGAAATGCGTAGGACGTGCTGTCACCCTAAACTTTGTACCAGCTCGTCCTGACGTTGCACAAGACAAACCCCCTGGCGGTGAATCCCCAGAGTACGAGGCATTTGAACTGTGCGGTCCGAATGAGGTATGGTTATCATCGTGATGTTAGGATGAATACTGCCAAATGAAACGAATGGAGACAGTTTCTTTTTGCAACCTTACTCAATGGAAAGTCTGAACCGAAATTTCTGCATCTTATATTTTATGTTTCTTTGTTCTGTTCTGTCCTGCGCATTCTACTTTCAATTTGTCGTCGCCTGAATTCAATCCAAGGTCCTGGTTATGTCGAGTGTGGGTCCTGCTGAAAGTGTTGGAGGAGACATCAAATTTCTTCGGCTAAAACAACGTGAAATTGGTGGACTCGTTACAGACGGGAGTGTCCGTGATACGGACGAAATCATCAACTACGGTTTTCCGGTAAGTTTTTCGTTGATACTCCGGACCTCTTAATGATTGTGGGATACGGGTACTTGTATTAGAACTATGCTAAACGATGTCTTGGCCTGTTGACTGTGTTAGTGCTTTTCGGATTCAACCACTGCTCGTCAAGGACCAGCTGCAATGCAGCCGTGGGAGTGCAACGGCGTGATTAGCGTTAGCGGTGTGACCGTTAGACCTGGTGACGCTATCGTTGGTGATCAAGATGGTGTAGTTGTTGTCCCTGCTAAAGTTGCTGATACGGTTTACTCGATTGCTCATGGTCGAGAGGTCATTGAAGAGATTATCAAAGAGGAATTGATCAAAAACCCCGGTCCACCTGGAAAATTCTACCCATTTATGAGTGGAAAGATCAAGGTTGATTCTCCTCTTGGCGAACTCTTAGCCTCGAAAGGAATCACTCCAGAAAATTCCAATCAATTCGAGGGTACTGCTGACTGGTAATATGTTACTTTCGTTCTGATATACGGTAGTTCTCATAATTTCCAACCTTCAATTTGAAGCTTCTAGAAACGAACCACAAGGGCCGTGCCCTCTGTCACGAACCTTTGTCAGATTCACACAACGCATCGGGTTTTCCACAGATTATTTGGAGCTTAATTTAATCGAGATTGAAATGTTTTGCTAGCTCGTCTCTAATTTTCTCTTTCCCTCTGATGATATCGCCATGGCAGGGAATAAGATTATCTGGTTCCCATTCATTGAGGACTATATCAATAACTTCTTCATAAAATTGTTTGTCGCTTACCATCAAGTTCTTGTAGAATGGAAGGTATATTTTATCCATACCAAACTTCCATAAACGCGTTCCAAGGGGAATGGATTGCACGGGAGGCGCCGATCCTTCGTCGTCATTCCCGCCCTCCAAGTGAGAGTTAGGGACACCGTCCTTTTGAGGGTAATTCCAGTATACATCAGTGGTCAATAATGATTTCGACGGTTTGTGGTAAAAAATTACCTCATTAAAAAATGGCTTTCCAGTGAACGGATTGACCTAACAAAAAGAACGGCAAGTCAATTAGAGACATCAATCGCTGGTGGTAAAGATAGTCTATTTTGTTGTTGTTTTCCCTTACCTCCATGTTCAGGTGAAGCGGAACAATGATGTCAAAATCCCAGCAATTTTTCAACTTCTTTGATTCAGATGGTCTCATTAAACCGTAAGGTATCTCTCCCTCCCATTCAATGTCGGGAAGCTTCTCAACAAGTCCAGGGCATCCCCACATGAATGCTTCGGGGTATTCTTCGCTCCATTGTTTCGCATATTTTAAATGCTCGTAATTGGGAGAAACAATGTATTTGACGTTTCCAAGTTTTTTCAATGCAGTTTTTGTTTTTGGATCTAAGTTCACAGGAGAGTGGACCCATAAATCTCCATCATCCAGTCGAATTACACACATTCTTCCACCAACATCAATCTTGTTCCAATAGAATGGGCGATCACCTGTGTAAACCCCTTCTGCTGCTGGGGTCAACACTGTCCCTAAACTTTTTCATTGTTGAAATGCGTTGTTCATTTGATGCGAAGTCTTGGTGTCAGTACAAAAATGATGGATGTGCACCAAGTAAAGATAATATAGAAATCTCAGTTTACGTACCGGTTTGACCAGGTGCTCTCGCAATACCCTCCTAAAGCATCACCGTTCGCTAGACTTTCGTCAATGTATTTCGCGTTCTGAAACAGTCCAGCAGTCGGGAATGATTGCAACCCATCGTTGTTTAATTCGGCTGCCAACGGCCTTAAAATGTAGGTGCCTCTCTTTATCGTAGTCGATGAACGCTGCAGAAGCGTCTGCGATGGATCTATCGAAAAAGATAAAGTCCCGATGGGAATGAAGATTGCTATCAAATAACCGAACATCGTTAAAGGTGTCATTCTGTCTTCGTAACAAGGCACTTGTGAAATCTATCGGCGGATCGAAATAGACACTGCTACGTTAGTTCATACGAACTGCATGAATTTTTGGAAGTCGGGAACTTCAGCAATAACCAGAACGACTAAATAGATTGGAGGGCGGTTAGAATAACATACTGGTGATGGTGCACACCTTCTCGCACCTCATTCCACACAGAATTTTCAGAGACTGTTCTTCTATTTTTCTGAACCATAATTAAATTGCTCCCTAGAGTAATGAAAAAAAAAAACCCTCCTGTACACCCAAAAAAGACACAAAGGCAAGAAGAAGCTGGTAATGACCACAACACAATAACACACACAATAACACACACAATAACACACTAGAAGAACTTCATTATACTAACAAGAAGGGGATGCAGAAGGGGTTCCAGAAGTAGTAGCAGATTGATCGGCTGAGTTATTCTCCTGTTGCTTGGGTGGAAAGGAGTATTTGATTTGACTGCATACTTTGCATTGGTGGAAAGAAGTATCTGATTTGACTGCATTCCTCCTTCTTGTTGCATTGGCGGAAAGAAGTATCTGGTTTGACTGCATTGGATATTCAAGTGACACCATATTGCTCCGCGCAAAGCTCCACCAAAGCGGAATTCTATGCCGTCGTCTTTGCTGCCAAAATTGTGTTATACTACCTCAGGTCTATTCTTGCTGACCTAGGCTTTCCCCAGAAAAATCCAACTACGTTGTATGAAGACAACGACTCTACCATCAAAATAGTGAATTCCGGTGTCCCAACAGAGCGATCACGACACATCAACATTCCCTATTTTGAATTTGTTGTCCATAGGATATCAGACTGTGGGTATGATTCATACATAAGATACATACATATGATACATATCTACGATTCCGTCACACAAACGGGATCCATGGTGTTGCGCATTTCGCGCGGTCTATACCCTTAAATGTTCTGGTCCTACCGTTAGTTTATGAATTACAAATTAATTTATCGAACATCTAATTTTATTCCTTGTTCTG